GATGGCCCAGGGGAAGCAAAGTCCCTTTGGAACCGGCTTGTGCAGTTATTTGGTCTCACAAAGAAAGCAGTGTCAGTGAGGTACCTGGGCAAGTCTTACCTGAAAAAGCAGGAAGAAAATGAGCATCGTGGGACACTATCCAGCCTTTCAGGCTGCTTTTTGGGCCTGCTAAGTGATGGGCTGCTGCATCTTGGCAGCACTGCCAATCCTGGTCCTGCTTCCCTCACCACCTACCTCCTTCTTTGAACAGTTCCTCTGAACGGGGGCCTCTCAGGGCCTGGAGAGGAGGACCCTGCTCTTCCCCACTTACTCCTCTGGCTGCTGCATCGGGATGAGAGCTGCATTTGTGCTCCCCTGAAGGGAAAAGGCTATGAGTGTACCCAGATCTGTATCTCAGGAGCTTGCAATGGGTGTATGAAGTCGTCCCGCAGAACTTGTGCATCCTGAACTACAGCAGAAGGTAAAACTGTCATTAATAAATCCTCTCTTTTGCAACACTATGGGATTTCCATACTCCAGCCAAACGCATTTGCTTTGAGCGAATGACATTGTGATGTGTTCTGGGACAACTCCGTATGCCTTTGCAAAGATACACACTGGCATGTTCAGACAGAGACACACGGCAATTTAAACTTGGTTTACATCACGAGTCTCAAGTGAATGTTTATGCACATCAAGGAAATGACAGGCCATCTGGCACATTTCAGTAATACTGGCACTTTCCGCTCAGAGAGGCCCAGGACTTAAATAAAAGAGATACCTCAGGTCAAGGATGAAACGCATTGTCAGGGCTGCGTGCATGCAGCTTGTATGGCATCTGTCTGGAGCTCAGCCCTTCCTGAATAGCAAAACGGCAGAGAAGGGCTGAAAGTTGGGGCAGTAACATCTGATGTGCGAGCTGGGGAAGGAGGTCAAGCTGGAGGGGAATTTGCAGGACCAGAATTGGTACAGCAGGGCATCACCGTTCAGAGCCATGCAGACAGATCTGGGAGCACAGCAAGGGAGACACGGCGAGCGTTAGGGTGAGGGTCAGGAGTGGAGTGCAAGTGAAGTGTCAGCTAGGGGACAGCTGCTGGGAGAAAGAGTATTACTCAAACAGAGATGTGTGGAAAGGATTGCCTGAAGTTAGTGGGTTATGAGTCAGGATGAGGTTGTATCAAATCTTTTTGGGAGGGTGACAAAATCAAAGGCTTGTAGACCGCCCACCTCCTTTGGGTTGCAATAACAAAAACGCTGGCCCACAGAATCAGTTGGGGAAATCTGGAATGACCTCAGGGGGAAGACTGGGAAGCATGAAGGAGGTTTTTGCACTGGAAAGCTCAGCTACTGCAGATCAGCACTGACTTATTTCTGACTTGTTTTGACAATGTTGTATATGGCCAAATCTGAATTAGTGGGAGCAGAAAGTATGTGCATTTGGTCCTTCTACCAAACAGAAGGTTAGTTTTAAGATGCAACTGTACAGAAATCACAAAGAAGACTGGAAAAGTTTGGTTCTGGTTAGTATAATGAGATGTACTATCCCACTCTGATGACCGCGATAATAGAGAATTGCTGGTTTATTTACTGAAACAAATCATTACTGAGGCACTGTTTCTTGTTCACTGAAAGAGAAATGTGCAAGTTCTTTCCTGCAGCAACTGCCATCGCGGACATTGGCTGAGAAGCCAGTCTTGTCCTGGGTCACAGCATGGCAGATACCTGACCTTGGTCAACGGATGAATGAAAGGAAAAACTATGTCAGTTCTCTATCCTAAACTTTCCATCCAACGATCTCTTCTCCATCAGATACACACGTACAACTGCCTCATCCCTCCACAGAGGGATTTCATATTACTCTCATTCTCTGCAGTTTGTCCATAAAACTGAAGACTAAACCAAGAAGGTAATGGTGTCATGTGTCCTCCTTTGACTGACCTCCTTCAAGACAGAGCCAGGGGAGAGGATACGCAAATCTCCCTCTCATGCAGATTAAAAATGTGCTTTTAGCATTGCATCCCTACAGGGACTCACCATACATTCAAAAGAGGTTTTTCCATCCTTTTCCAGATTTCCCTGTTCTAGAGAGGACCATTAATGACAACTCCCAGAGGTCCCTATCCCTTGTGTTGCACAATTCACAACTTAGGCATCAGGACAGATAAAAGCAAAACAGAGATGAGTGGTTCTTTTCCTGTATTCAAATTTCAAATCAAACACCCACTTTGCTCTACTGTAAACAGAGCTGCATGTTTAGAGCATCAAGGTACTGTTTCTTTTTCTTTAAGATTTTACATTTCTCCTGTGAGAAGCAATTACAATAGAACTGTTAAGTAAAAGTAAACCCCTGTTAATCACTGTCACTTTAAGCCTGCCAGTAAGTTACATCTCAGTGTTGCTGTTACAATTTTCAGGTAGAAATAAAAAGTGCATGAGAACGCCCGGCTTGCAACTAAGATCTTCTCAAGAGGAAGGCTATAAGATTTTTGAAAATGTAAGTTCTTCTCTAATGTTTATGATCTTGAATGGAATTAGAAAATCACCAAAACTGAGGATATTATCATAGATAATATCTAATAATAATAGAATAATCTAATAATTCAAGCTGGGAGGATTCTCTGGAGGTCATCAAGTCCAACCCTCATTCAAAGCAGGGCCCAACGCAAACTTGGGTCAGATTGCTCCGTGATTTTTGAATACCTTCAAAACAGAGGTATCACAACCACTCCCAGCAACCTGTTTAGCGCTCAGCACTCTAACAGCAAAGAACATTTTTCTTATACCTAGTTGGAACTTCCTTTGCGGCAACTTGTGCATGCTGTCTTTTGTGCTTCTACCATGAGCTCCTGAGAAGGGGCTGGCTCTGTCTTCTCTATAATCCCTCACTGCCTTTAGCTTTCCCTTCCCCAACTTGAACAAACCTAGCATCCTCAGCCTCTTCTCAAATGTATGTGCTCCAGCTTCTTCTCCTGTCATATGCTCCAGCTCTTTAACTATCTATCACAAGTACTGGAAGATTTCTTTTGGTTTTGGTCTATACATAGACAGGTATCTGCACCCACAAGGAGAAAGGAGATAAGGAGAAAACTTTGGGTTCTCAGCTGAGCTATTATTCCCCTGTACTTTTCAGACTCGGAGGCTTCATGCACTACCCACCGCTTTCAAATCAGCTGAAGGGAATGCTAGTGAGCAGTTTGTTCCCTTCCAAATTTGACAAGTTTCTGTGAGCTCTGGAGGGAGGTTTTCTCTTATTTTATGTTTATCTTTTCACTCCAACCTGGACACTATTGCCCCCCGCCCCCCATGAAAAAAAGCCAACTCAGGGTGATGCAGTTGCAGCTGGTGTTCCAGAATAACAGCATGCAAGGGGGTGGTTTCCATTGGGTCTGGGAGCTGCCAGTCAAGGTGGTATTTAAAGATAAGCATACTCAGCCTAGAGATGCTGTGATGTCGGCTGTTTCCTTTTTCCTTCTAAGTAACAGTGACAGCTTCACAACTAGATCAATGGCTTAATCAATGCTATGAATATTAACAAGAATATCATCAACCTCTTTTAGTTGAGTAAATCTTTGTGTATGCTCGATGAGAGCTTATGAAACTTTCAGACTAGATAAATGGTTATTTTCCCCACCAGGAACCTTCAAAACAGTTAGCTCATACCTGTTTTAGACATAAGCTGCAATTTAGTAACACAATTTCCACATTTCATTCTATATTCACGTCTCTTTTCCACAGCAAAGCCCTGACCCTGCAAACGCCTAGTTACACTGAGTCACCACCCTGAAATCAACTGCAGACCGAGCAGACTGTTGCTCAGTAAAAAGAGATTAACCACACTGAGCACTATTTAAGTAACAACATAATTCCAATTCCCATATTCCCTCCCTATTCCCCCAAGTCCTGCAGATAGGTATTCCCTACCTGTAGCTTAAGTCAGACATTTTTTCTCATACCATGATATCAAATCACACTCCTTATCCCTCTGAATGAATCAATATAAACTCAAATTCTGCTCAATCCAGTCATTTTGAAAGTAAAGATATTTTCAAAGGGCTTCAGCTCAGATAAAAGGTGTACTGCAGGGAACCACCTTCACAAAGTTTTGACACCACCAGCTGTATTTGCCACTATCCTTGTTAAATAGAGATACTTTGCCATTATTTTACAACAATGTAACGTTTCTAAGAGCAAGAACATTCCCTTTGAACTGTCACTCTTCTTTCAGTTATTGGCCTGCTGCCTACACGCAACAATATAATAAGACTGTTGCATTTTCAGTGATCATTTGGATTTTATTGCAATGAAGATGCCACATTAACATCCACAGAGAGTGGATGTCTCCTTTACTCCTCAAGGAGAAAGAAGGGGAAGCTTCCCTAAACAGACCCATCAATACGTGTTCTTGGTCTGATTTGGGAAGAGACTGAAAAAAGCGTATTTTCTTTATAGAGCTGAACAAAGTCATGAATTATAAGTCACATGATTAAGTTGGATATCACATACCACTCAACAGTCTAGTGGGGGATTAAGGCGAAACAGTAGTTCTATGCTGCTGCAAGCGAGTACCGTAGTGCTGGTGAAAGCAGGCACCAGAAACACAGCTACTACTCCTCAATGCCATTTACATCACACTGAGTAAACTTGTCATATAACAATGGCAAAGGTCTTTGATGCACTGGAAGACATTCTGTCTGGAAGTATAGATAGGAATGGCTTTGTACTCTGATAACCTGTTCCTGCACCATCTGGCATCACACTTCTGTACATACAATTTTAATAAGACGGAACAGCTGCACAATACATATTGCACATTCCTCTACCTACAAAGAAGCCTGACAAAAGTTTTTGGGTAAGAGAGAGAAAATAATTCTTCACTCCATAAGAAAAAGACGTGCAGAAAACAAGCAGAGTTGAGGAAATTTTTCTTTTCATTCTCTCTTTCTCACAGCTTTAGTAATGCATTTCCTTAGATGCAGCTAGTATCTGTTCATAGTCTCCTCAGTTCTAACCAAGGTCCTTACCTGTGACGACACTGGGGATTTTAGACAGAAAGCTCTTAACAGTTCGGATGGGAACTCCACCTGTTTTGTCATCTTGCATTCTTGTAATGATGTCTTCAATCTGTCAAGAGGAAGGAAAGACTTAGTGGTTTATGCAAAATGGTGACTATTTATATAACTTGAGTGCTTTGGAGCCCGGCAGATAGAACGGGGTTCACATGTACTGTGTGTATCACTGCATGAACATAGACCTAGAAGAATGGCTATCACCTCCCAAACTTAGACCATGAGACTGTATAGACCAGCTGGAAAGAATGGTGGCCTGACTGCACTGGCAATCCTATCATAATCATCTTTTTGGCTGATCACTGGAGACAGAGACAGAAACATGTTGCTAAGTTAGCGTGTGAATTAGGTTAGATTCTGTATTGCAACCAGCTTAAGGAGCTTTAAATATCAAGGAAGCTTACAGCAGGAAAACAAAGAAGATCCCTCTGTCAGAACGTGGAACGTCATGTGCAGCAGATAACTCAGTAGGAAGGTACTTTTTTCTATAAGAATATAAGAAGAGCCATATCGGTCAACCAAGGAGCCATCAGACCACAGGACCAATATCTCACAGTGACCACACCCATCAGAAGCAGTGACTATGCTCCAGCTTTGGTCAGTGTTCCCCTTTTTGTTTTTGTTTTTGTTTTTTGGAACCATGACCTTCCTTTCCAGTCCAGTTTCCCACTTTCTCCTACATTCATTTGAATCCTTGATACTGTGACCTTGGGAGGGGTCTCATTTTCCAGAGGATCCCAGCAGGGACAGATGCCACTATCTGTGGCTTGAGAGGACAAACATAAGATGATTTTTTCCCCAGTTGAACACTGCAAACCGGGATGGTATGTGGCCACGGTCACCATACAAAGCAAACAACCAAAAGTAACATGCTCATAGAAGAAAAACTGTTTAGACTTCCATAACAAGGTTAACTTATACTTCACAGGCACATACATGATCAATCATACACGACCACCTTCAAAAGCTACGGCAATCAGAGAATCTGATTACTGGGGAAAGCTCTTCCCATTTGCTTTAAAACAGGAAAAGATTTTTGCTTCTTTTGGGGATATTTCTTGCTTTTATTTAAAGGCAGCAATAAGGAGAACAAAATGCTAACCACAAGCACAATGTAGACATCTGGCATCTTCAAGAACTCCCTTCTTTCAAGTTAAAAAGGTCTCAGAAGCCCAATAAAAATAAGACAGAAGCACAAGGCTCCTCTCCTGGTAGCTAAGGTGGCTGAAAGCAGAGTCCTCCCGGCCTTGTAGCAACAAGAGCTTCCATCTATTTGGAATAACGGTCTGGTAGCAGCAAGCCAGAGAGAAATCCCTTCCCAAGGGTCATTGTTCTGTGTTTTTCCTGAAACTTGTCTCTTCACAGATGATATGGAACGTAACCTCGGCAGGGAGACCCTCTCCATGAGAATGAGACGTGGTGGGAGCACAGCAGCTCTCTCACCTAAATGCAAGCACTCTGAGAGCTTAAATTTCAAAATAAGTTTAATTTCAGGTCTTCCTGTGTCAGTAAGAACATCCCTGCCAAATTCAGACACTGAATCTGATCATTGTGTTTGTAACCTCAGGCTATCACATTACCAAACTGTTCACACCTTGTTTATATATTATTTTTAAATTAACACATGCACTGAACAGACTCTCAGCAGAAACTAAGTCACAAAGATGAAAATAGCACCAGAGATTCAGTAGATTACTGGAAGGTCGGTTATCTGAAGTTAATTTGTAATGCAATAATGCTGCTTTTTTCCCAACCTAGACACTAGGGAAATCAATACAATCCTTTCCCCTTTATCTGAACTTTATGCAAAGTTACTTGTTGATCAAAATAATTTCTTCCAGTGTAAGAATAACCAGAGGAGTAAGTGCTCCTCAGACTTGACAATAAGCATTTCACAAGCGCTCCATGATCTTAAGAAAGGCTTGACAGCAGAGCAAATCTGAGAAGTGCTTTCAGAATTGCTTGTAACACATACGAATATGTAAGGCCTCAGCGCTCCTTCTGAGCTCTCTGACACGAGGCTCCTTGTGCACGTGCCGGCCAAGAGGATGATGCACCATTTCAGTGTCCCAATTAAGGATGGACCGAGAGGGTCAGTCAGACTGAGAGCCGCTCAGATGGCAACCTGGCAATGAACAGGCCTCTCTCTGCCCAGTTGGTTACATGCCTTCTTCCTGATGCACTTGGAACTGGAATCAGAGATAGATTTTCTATGTATATTAGAAGAGTAAAATATTCTGGAACATGCTGGGGTCCCATCTTTCCAGCAGCACTTAGAGATTTTAAAAATGCAAGCATAATTTTGCTAAAAATGTTGCTTTTTTTGTGAAATAAAAAAATTCAGAATGAAAAATCTGAGCTAAAATAATTGCTTCCATGCAGAGAAGAAACTTCTTATTCTTTTGCTCACTGTAAACCAAAAAAAACCCAAACAATTTATATAATTATCACCTCAAGAAAAAACCAATTCCAAGCAAAATAAAACTTTTGTTATCTTAAAAGAAAAATGCATTGTTTTTTCCCAAACCATCCTCATTCAAAACAATCAAGCTTGCACTGATGTTTTGGGTTTCAATTACACTTATAAAGCCCTATTGCAATTATAAACCAAATTGAACAAGACTGCTCTAGAGATCATTCCTTCCCAAAAGGCTCCAAACAGTTCTTCTTCCTCTTGTCTTCCAGCTGGACTACCGGCAGTTTTTGCTCTCCTTATTGCCCAGCACTGGACATTACGCCTCTCCTTCCCTTTCTGCTCAGATCTCCCACATCTCCTTCCTTTCCCTTCCTCTCACCTGATCCACAGACTACTATATCGTCTTCCTACAATACGCCAGCACTTGCAATCTGGTGCCTGAAAGCACACTGCTTTACAGGCTCTGATTGCAGGTAATCTGCCTATTCACAACACGCTTTCTTGTGCTCTCCAGCAAATGTCCAAGCTATTTATAGTTCAGCAATCTAAGCCAAGTTTCTATTCAACCTGTTACAAAGAAAGGATCTATATGCAACATTTTGACTTGTACCAGGCTTTGCATTTTGAGTCCACCTGAAGTTTGCAGAAATTATCGCTTCGCGTCCAAATTCCTGGTTAGGTGTAGAAATGCTTCATGAAGTAAGTGACACAGTGGTAAGAAAAAATAGTGACTGCTGCAGCTTCCAGTGTGGAGAAAAGCAGAAAGGGATCATCAAGTGTGAAGGTCACGTTTATTGAATCATTTTGTCTTAACTTTCAGGGTAGTTACCTAGTCACATCACTGCTAATGATCCTCCCTTCAGTTGCCACTTCACTGAAGTTCCCCTTATGTTTCTTTATCTGGCAGAGAGCAAATACAAGTCCTTGAATAGTTCCTTTCGTCAGGCAAAAATGCAGACATTAGTGCTCCTCGTGTTTCTCACTTCTAAATGAGTGATCTTCAGTGAACTAACTTCTGCCCAACACAAGTCAAGGTAAGAACAGGTAGTATTCATCTTCTCTTATGGGGGTCACTGCTATTTCAAGCTCGTCTCATTTTGCATCAGTAATGGGAATTGTTACTCCTCTATCTCAGTGGATCCTGGATCAATATCTCCCTGAGAAAGTCAGAGCAATTTATTTAACTGCTGTCACAGCTAGGTGCATACGGTAACGCGTTCAAAATATGAGACCTGCCTTTCCTAGTGAAGAGATGCTAACTAGCCCACTCCTCTGTCCAGAGTGATTTCATTTCACTTCACCTCAGTTTCACTGTATTTATAAAGGATTTTTGGTTTCAGGAGCACATTATCAGCAGGGATAGGATTCTACAATGGTAGGTGGAAGGAGTTTACCAATGTATTTTACGCACTAAATCCCAAACACGCCCTACATGTGTGGGAATTTACTGGTCTTCATTAGACCTTCTTTTCCACTGTCAGCACTTTCACTGGCCTCAGACAGGGAGGAGGACACCACCTTGAGTTTCTGTCCCAGCTGAGATGTCTGTCACTTGAGGATGGAAAGTTCCTTTTCTGAAGCAAGGGAAACCACAATATTATACTTGTTGATGTGTTATAACAAATAAATCATAATTATAACACAACAACAAATGTAATACGACTGTGGTTTCATCTATCTCAGAAAAAGCTTACCGAGGATGAAAAGCAGTTCCCCTGAACATTAGTGTAACAGGACACACAGAAACGACAAGCCATTTCTGTTTTTCTTGCTCATGTGTGAAACACATGAAGAAGAATCCCATGTTTTTGACAAACAGACCAGCTGAAGAAAAATGAAGCCAGAGCTATTTAAGAAATAATTATACTGGGGATTCCTGTGTGTTTTTTTTTTTTTTTTTTTTTTTTTTTTTTTTTTAAAGATCCTTCAGGAGTTTCCAGAATGCGAGAATAGCTTCTATGTTGACAAACTTAGACCACTGATCATAACCAGGCAATTGTGGGGCAGTGCTGCACAACATTCCTAGCATTACCGTGATAAGGCGGGGAAACGATTCTTGACTTTGCAGTAACTTCCCTTTCTCCCAACACCAAATTAAAGCAGGCACCAGAAGGCAGTGTGCCAGCACGCACAATCTTGCTGAGCCATGGAAGCACCCTGCTCGGTGCTAAGATTGACCTTGCAGGTGACTAAGCAGAGGGAATGGCAAGTAAAGTATAAAAAAAGGAAAAGCCAATAGCTCCCCACCTCCAGAGACCCTACACCTGGATACCAGTAACAGGCTACCAGGGCTACCTTCCTGAGCATTTTTGCTACTACTGAGTGATTAGCACCTGCTGATGCCAGTGATCACCACAGTACAATTTTGCCAGCTCACTTTTGTAAGCTAATAATGGAAACAGTGCCATTTTTGTCACCTAGCCTGTGAGTCAGCTCTGCACGCTCCCTGGGAACTTGCAGGAAAGGATAGCTGCCCATTTCTGAATATTTCGGTGTACACCATGTTCCTGCCTGATTACCCGGACCAGGCACCCTACCGGTGGGAATTCCCATCACTAGCTAACCTGTGGCAGAACGCTCTGTGAGCATCACTCATCAGCATTAACATTAAGCTTACGGGGTTGGACAGACAGCTCTGT